GAGAGTCGACACTGGCCAAGCCCTGACTCCCTCCTGCTGTCTCCCGCCCAGAGGCCCTGGTCGTCTCCTCAGTGAAGCTCGAAGGCACCCAGGCTTAGAAAAGCACACAGATTTATTGCAGACCAATCTCATGTATAAATTCATTGTAGCGGTGGAAAGAGTACATTTGGTATGCAGTCCTATTCTACAGCATTAACCTCAAAATCAGCTTCTCCTAGGCTTTACCTTAAAGAAATTTCTCTACACAAGTACATTTGTCTTTATCACAAGCATCAAAATGAAATTTGCAGAATCGCTCTTAATTATTTCCTCCACTTCATGTCTATCTCATTATCCTCCCGCAGCGATTTCCATATTAATTAAGAACCGCGCCTCTGTTGCGTTGGCGGTTCAGGACCCCTAGTCTTGGACGTAGACCCTAGTCACACATTCATTAAGTGCATCTACGGCATTTTCCTTTTAATAAAAATTTCACAAACAGACACGAGAATGACTGCTAAACACGAGTCATGCACAGTTTACTTATAAACATAACAGAAGCCATTTACAATCAAGGGGACATGGGACAAACGCCAGCCTCCTTCTCAATGGTTTTTTTTTTTTATAACAGAAGCCATTTACAATCAAGGGGACATGGGACAAACGCCAGCCTCCTTCTCAATGGTTCTTTTTTTTTTTTTTTTTTAAAAAAAAAACACTATGTGAAAACCAGACATTTACATTTGATTTATTTTTCAACACTATACAGTTCTACAAGAAAAGAACAAAACAAAACAAAAACCAAACTAAACCAAATCTGTGATGTAATGATGGTGTAAGAAAGGCCTGGGCCGTGCAGGTCTGTGATTCTCGCGTGTTCCATGCGTGCATAGAGATGCGTCAGGTGTCAGAGCATCGTGTGTGCACACTTCACGTCACGTGTGCTCACACCAGGGCTCGGCCCCCCTGTGTGGAAGAAAGCGGCGAAGACGTAGGACACGCTGAAGGAAATCTCCAGAATGACTTTCCTTTACAAGTGAATTGCACGTTCGGAAACTCAAGCTGCCTTTTATTTACTTTTTTTTCCCGAAAGTGGTAATATGAATCAGTGACAGAAAAGAATAAAACAGCACAACAAAACATGGAATGGAAGGAACTCTTCTCAAAGAATGCAAGAATGTCTTTGTCACAGTATCACTCAATGCTGCAGAGACAATAGTTTCATGGCTTTCGGGACCCGGCCAACCTCCACTGACCAGGAACAGCTGTGTCCTGGCTACCTGTCCCCCCGGGCGGCAGTGCAGGGGCAAGCTCTCTTCTCCCTTCCCCTAGGACAACACAGTGAATACAGCTCAGTAGGTTTCAGTCCCTTGGCCAGGGGGACAGGGACCAGGGACCACAATCCAGTGCTTCGAGGCTTCGAGTCTGAAACGTGTAATATGTGTTTAGGCAGGTGCTTTGCAAGCGCTCACTGGGGAAGCAGCTAAGGCAGAGAAAGCCAAGGGCCCTAGGAGTGTCCAGGGCCAGATGCGGGGATGCGGAGGTGTTGGGCCAGTCAGGGTCTGGACCGGCCGTCTGCGTGCCTGGCCTTGTAGAAGATGGCCCCGTGGGCTGGGCAGTCTCTCAGGCTGTGCCTGTGCCCACCCTCTCCACTGCTGCACACCCCAGGGCCCCGAGCAGGCTGTGGGGACTCTCAGTCCTGGGTTTGAGCCAGGGACATTCTGGTCCTTGTCTTGAAGGGTCTGCCTGGCCCACGGGATGGGCAGCCTCGTGTGTCCCCCCCGACCCTCCCAGGGATGAGAGCAGCAACCAGGGGGAGGGCGCTGACTTGCTAGGGACCTGGGTTTGTGGGGCGGTGGAGGGACGGTGTGAGGTGGCCTTCTGGATTTCCATTTGGAATTTTCAGTTGGGATGAGTATCAGCCATCTGAAGGCGTTAGCATCAGCGTGGCCATCGAGGCTGGACCGGAGGGCCCTGGACCCGGGCAAACCTGGCCCAGTGATACCCCTGGCTTGCAGCCTTGACCCCAGCCACCCACCCGTGGACACAGTAGTCAGCCAGCCAGCCATCCTGTCCCATCTCTGCTCACGCTAAGGGGCAACATGGCTTCTTGTTACGGCTTGGTGTTCCAGGGGCCAGGACCTTGGGATTCTCAAGCCCGGCCCAGGCTCCCTCACCCCCAGCACTCCCTGGGACCGGGGACGCTGGGCCAGAGCGAGCCAGGTGCTGCTGGGCTGGTGCTGGAGCCCGGGGCAGAGACGAGGCATGAGGGCAGGGCTCCTGGGGTCTGGGGTAAGGCTGAGTGTCAAGGCGTTGTGTCAGGGACACAACAGCACAGGAAATAACTGCTCTCTTTGTCAGGGGGTCCAAGGACATAGCCCTCCAAAATGTGACTTAAAATGTGCAACTGGGGCTCTGGGAAAAGGGGGAGAAAGGGATGGTAGGAGAAGAGATAACGTTTAGGACGATCAGCCAGAAACGATCGAATTTGGCAGGGAAATGCAACCAGCCATGGGAAGGGCAGCCCCGATCAGCTCTGCCACGGCCGAAAAGATACACTCAGGCCTCCGTCCGTCCAAACTCCCCACTTCAGAAAGAGAGAGTCATATCGCAAAAAAAAGCACACACCTTATTCTTTCGCAGAAGAAATCATATAATTTGGGTTTACAGAAATGGGGTGCTTGTATCTGAGGTTGAATTTTTACAGGGATCCTTAGATCAAGGGGAAACCGGGAATACCTACACGGTACCCAGCGGGTCTGGCCAGGGGATGGCACGGATCCTTGTGCAGAGGCGTGAGCGGTTGTGTTTGCGAATCGGAGACGTGGCCACGGCCAGCTCTTCCTCTCGCGGCTCCTCTGGCTGTCCGGGGACGTCTTTCCAGTCTGCACACGCGTGCATGTGGCCTTGGTGCACACACAGGGTGGCTCTCCATCTCCCCACTTTGTGCAGATTCAGCGAGGGGTGAGTCCTTTTCACAGCAATCCGTAGGTTTGTGGCAGCTGCAGGGACCTCCCTGTTGCCAGTCTCCGGTGCAAGCCTGGACCACCCGGCACCTGCAGAGACGATTGTCTTTGGCCTGGAGTGGCCGGGATGTGCGTGGAACAGACCCGCTCGGACAGTTGCTGTCGCCACCGGGGACGAACACAGATGCCCATGGTATGACACAAATCTGCACAGACGTGGCTTGCACGTGACTTTGTATTCACGCTCTTTTGTTTTAAGGGCTACTTGGGCAATTTTTTCTCTTCTTATTGGGACACTATTATTACGTTTTTCTTCCAAACAATAAAAGAAATAAATAGAACACTTGTCTTAAATGCAAATGCAACTGAGACTCAAATTTAACAAAAACATGTGATTGTCTGGTAAATGGGAAGCAGTGACAGCAGGATTTGGGGTGGGGAACGCGGGGGTATTTGGCACATTAAAAATCGCCCCACTCCCTGGTTATCGATCACACAACACACAATCTTATTACACGGTTTTGGTCCTTCACTAGATACTTATATTAACATTATTTCTTCACAATAAGAATGTCTAATGCCAAAAATACTGTTAAGGAAGAAATAAAATAAGAAAAGAAATGAATTAGAAAAAAATTACAAGTTATATACAGATTAAGGTAAATTCCATCAGGGAAAAAAATTATCATTTGAAGTTGGCCCCTATGGGAATAATTTAAAGCCCATCCGAAAGGAGTAGTCACATCCCGAGGAAGGGAGGCGGCTGTCCCCGGGGGCAGTGCTGGCTCTGCTCTTGGAGGCAGGTGCCCTGGATGTCTCTGTTCCTGGGCCACGTCTCACCAGGAACCTGCGTCTCACCAGGAACCCGCACAAAGAGCAGAAACGGTGGTGGGGGTGGGTGGTGGATCGGAGTCTCAGGCACAGGTAGAGCTCAGCGCCCTGGAGCGGCAGAGCAGTGGAGTACTCCCCCACGGTGGCCTCGGGGAGGGCCCCGGAGCTGCCAGGGGTTGCATGAGGGTGGGAGGCTGGAGACCCAGAATGTGGCCAGCAGGCCCTGCCTTCAGAAGATTGGCAGCGGTGGGGCCAGCCGAGGCACAGACTGACCAAGGAGGGAAGGAAACTCAGGTGCCTGGGCCACGCCTCTGCACGGAGCACTGAGCCACCAGCTTCCGACTTCCCCATACAATGGGGTCCCTGGCACGAATTCCATGTCATGTGATGGCAGGCATACCTCCCAGTCCCAGCCTCAGGCGAGCCTGCAGCCCTGGGAACAACGTTTAAGGATTCCTTGGCACGGTCTGTACACTGTTCAGAGGAGTGGCCCCACGCCCCTTGTTCTGCCTTGGGGACACCCAGAATCACCTTGGCTCGTACAAACAGGGTCAGAGATAGAAAATTTCTCCATTATTTACAGTATAAAGAACACACCCAAGCACGGTGCTGGCTCCCAGGCAGACCTGGGTTTGCAGATAAGCTGAAAGGTCAAAGCGATGCAAAATTACTTTTAAAAAACAATTTGCATGTTATTTTTTTTTTGATTTTTAAAAAATACTGTCTGTTTTTAAAACCACATGCTTAAATAGACTCTGTAGTCAATAAGATTACCAAAAGGGGTTTTTCTTGTCCTTTTCTTTATAAAAACTGTTTGAGCGACCTCTCTCTTTAGAGCACACCCGTGTCTCTCCATCCCCGTCCACGACACCATGTGGGCACCTGGAAGTGGCCCCTGGCTCCGGTTTTGGACTGAGAGTCCCCCTTGCCCATGGGGCTGACCTGTGCAGCCGCTTCAGGGCTCACATGGCCGTGTGCTGTGCAGTCACCGAACAGTGTCCTCAAGACCAATTCCTAGAGATGGCAAAACTCTGCAAGTGCTTTCGGGACTTTCGGGTTCTAAGTTTTCCTTGGAAAAATGAGAGCTGGACCATGGTGGGTGGGGGACAGATGCTGAGCAGTGGTCAAGTGCAGGTGACGGGGATCCTCCCTGGCCCTGGCCGCCTCCACCTTCTGCAGCTGGTGCCCTTGCTTTGGACTCTGAACCCAGGACCTCTGGACCCTTCAGAGGTGGTGGATAGGGTTAAAGGCTCCGGCCTCCGACGTGGCTCCTGCGATATTCAGCCAAGCATCCAGAGAGCTCTGGGAGGGGGTGTGGAGAGGAGTGTCCTCGGAGAGGGACAGCATCATTGCATACGCCTGGTGAGAGAGGACATGGGACAGGTGGTGAGAAGTGTTGGGGGCCTGCAGTCCAGATGGGCAGGGCTGAGCCCCGCCCCTCCCTGGCCTCCCGCTGCTCCTGGCCTGGCTCAGCCTTGCCAGATGCCCCTGGATGAGAGTGGGCATGACAGCAGGGAGGGAAGGAGCATAAGACATCACAGCCCCAGTCGGGGGCCTCTTGTGCACACGGGGCACTCTCAGTCTCTTGGGGGTGCTCTGCCTGCAGTCACCTCTCCGCCCCCCAGATTTCTCTGCCTGGTGACCAGCGAGAACTTACAGACACACATCCCCTCTGGGAGGGCCCTGGGAATTGGTGGTAGTTATTGCTGAGACCCCCCCATGCCAACATGAGTCAGTCCCCCCACCCTTAGCCTGCCTGGTGGGGAAGGGGGTCTGGGGGACACCTGTTTTGACAACTTTGGTGACACCATCGAGCTACTTCTGGGAAAAGGGGGTACGGAGCTTCTGAGCCATCAGAGTTATTAGAGAATGCAGGTGTCTTTCTTGGCCTCAGACAGTCCATGGGACACCCTTCTGCCCCAAGCCACAGGGCAGGAGGTGATGGGACCCAGGGGTGCACGGAACATTGGGTGCAGGATAAGACAGGGTGGTGGGAGAGCCCGATGCTTTTCCCACCCAAGCTAACACTCTGGACAGAGTTAGTAATCAGACAAAGACAGACATGCAGACGGCTTTCACTGAGACTCGGGGCGGGTCAGCCCCCTCTAGGAAGGCTGCAGAGAGATGAAAGGGACCCGAGCCCTCCAGACTGGAGAGGGTCAGGGGGCGGGGCCTGTGACCACCTACCCTAAGGAGTGGGGTCAGGAAGGTCTAGGGCCAAGTCTGGGGCCCCCGCACACCCCTGGTCACAGCTCCAGCTGGGAAGCAGTGACCACCTGACGGGGCAGCTTCCCCTGAGAGAAGCCTGGGCTGCCGGTCACTCCAGCTTGGATCAGAGAGGGAGGGAGACCCAGGCGGCTGCAGTGTTTCCCACTGGGGCCGAGAGGAGTGGGACCGTCCACCCCGTGTGTCTGTGAGCACCTCAGAGGGAGGGACGGAGCTTGTCGGGAGGGTCCGGCCAGGCTTATCTGCTTTCAGCCTCTGCCTGTCCCGCCCGGCTTGCAGGAGGGTGGTAGTCATTGGGTGTCTCTCTAGCCAATGCAGGGGGCATGGGGTGGCAGGGTCCTGAGCTTCCCCCAGACATGGGATGGCCACAGCGCCAGGGGCTGATGGCCACAGCGAAGGGGCTGGCCCTTGGCCGAGGAGGTGCAGCAACCACCTGCTGTCTGAGCCAGGTGGAGGTGGGAGGTGGGGCGGGGCTCTGATGGATACCTACCTGGTTCTTAGCCTGCCTGTACAGTGTCTGTTTTAAAGTCTCAGAATCTAAGGTGGAATTAAGCACATCTTTAACTTCAAATGCTTCCTCAGCTGCTCTGCGGAGATCCAGCCCCTTCCCAAAAGTCGGCATCGGCTCCAAAGCTAACAGACCGCCTTCTTGCTCCTCAATACACCTGCACCAATGACCAGGGAGAGGGAGGGACCTGGTGTTAGCTGGTCTGGCCTCCGGCCACCTCTCTGATGCCATCAGGCCGGCTCTGTGCCCGCATGCAAGCCACGGGGTCTTCACAAGCCACATGCACAAGGAGACAGACACACGGACACACGGACACCTGGACGGGAAGCCACACGGATGCAAGAGAGAGAATGGACGGAGAGCCACAGAGGGTGAATGCATGCACACGCGGCAAGCAGCAGGCGGGGCTCAGGTCCTGGGGCGGAGGGTGGAGAAGGCCTTAATTCTCTGAGGCTCTGGGCAGCTCAGGAGGGGCCTGGGCCAGCATCAGGGCTGGGGAGGAAATGCCATCTCTGAAGGGCCTCCCCCAGGAGGGTCTCAGAGTGCTGGTGGCATCACTGGTGCCAAAAGTAGGTGGCCAAAATTCAGGACATGGGGGGAGTGGCTCTGGCTGTGCAAATTCCAAAACCATGGTGCTCGGCCCCTGCACGCAGCCCTGCTAGAGGCCAGACACCACTGCCCGGGCAGGTGTGCTGCTCCCCAGGGCGTGCGTGGGGGCTGGGGGCCCCCGACCCCTTGCCTCTGGCCAGCCTCACCCTGGCCCACACATAGAAGCCTCTGCGGTGGAGCCGGCCCCTGGGCAGGAGGGTGAGCCCAGGCCGGGGGCAGGCGGCTCATGGGTGGTTTGAAGAGGGCGGTCCTGGCGCCACATCCTCCCGCCCCACCTGGTCCCCAGCACAAGGCTGCCCCCACCTGCGGGTGCGGTCGAAGCCCACGGCCAGCGAGGTGGGCGGCTCCTCGTCCTCTTCGTCCTCGTAGACACCCTGGGGCTCGGGCGTGGGGGACACGGTGTCTTCCTGTGACTTCCCGGCCAGGCTGTCCTCATCCTCCTCCTCCAGCTCCTCGTCCTCTTCTGCCTCCGCGTCCTCCGGCTTATTGCTGGCTAAGCCTGGACACTGGGGACTGCCGTCCAGGTCCGGGACCTCCGGGCTGCAGTGACACAGGAGGAGGTTGCGGCGTTCGGGGGCCTCTAGCTTCACCTGCACCCCTCAAAGGCCGGCCCCTCGACTCTGGGGGGCTCTTCCGCCACCTCCCCCCACAACCCTCCCAGCCCCCTTCCCAAGAGAGTTCGGGACGGCTCCTCCCCTCCCTCGGCCCAGCCACTGTCCCTGCAGAGTGACTGTGATGAGGCCGTGGGAAGGTCCGAGGAGCAGGGCAGGGTGTGGAGGGGTGGAGGGCACAGGGGCTGGGCTGCTCAGCAGAGGGTCTTGTTATGCCTCGGTGGATTCCAGGCCATTCAGGGGTTTACAGCAAGTGTGGGTGCTGGGCAGGGAGCTGCGGCCGGGCCCATGGGGAAGGTGGTCCTGTGCTGGTGCAGGGCACTGCACGAGGGGTGCCCTGAGGCACTGATCAACGTGTGCTCCTCTCGGCAGCCTTGAGGACTCAAGGACACGGGGTGGTGGCCCAGGGACATGGGGGACCCCTGAAAAATGTCTGGGATCCTGGATTTTGGAGAGCAAGACTGGCCTCGGGCTCCCCACTATCAGCAGTCTAAACCTGCCACGACGAGTCTGCCTCAGAGAATGTAGTGGGCGCTCTCCTGCAGCCCAGACCCCACCTCACGTCCCTCAGGGTCCCTGCAGTCCTGGCACGGCTCTTCCATTCTGGTCCCTCATTATTCAAGAAGAAAAGCCTGCCGGGTGAGGTGCGAGCGCTATTTCCTTCAAAGTCTACCGGAGTTTCGCGCATGTTCAGATCCATGACTAGAGCCTTGCACAGGTGGGCTGGGCCCCGAGGGCACTGTGGGCCACCTGGGCAGGTGCTCTATGCACCGGCAGAGGACATACACCAGGGCAGAGTGCACGATTCCTCACTGGCCCACGTCCAGAGTCCAAGACCCCACCGCCTCCTAGGCCCACGGGGTCTGTCCACGGCTGCACTGGGCGGTGCCCAAGGGCTCGGGGAGACACAGAGGTCCTGTCCCTAGTATTGAAGCAAGATGGTGACAGCATCTCCAAGTTATTGGCCTCCTAACTCGAAGCTGTGTTGAGGACTCGCCCGTGGGCACGGGGCTGGGCTGGGCTGGGGGAGACTCCCCCAGTACCCGGCTCTCAGCAGACTCCATGTCCCCATTTCTTGCCTTTCTACGTGAAGGTATTAGAGACGCTGACAGCTGATCTGCTTTCCAGGATGGGCAGAATCCCGACAGGTTTGGGGACTTCAAGGACGTTGCCCTTGTCACTGGTCACCTGTGCTGGGGGGCTGGCCAGAGTGTCCTGTGCACACGTCCATCTCCCCAGTAACAGAGGGCTCTGGGATCTGGGTCCTGCCTCCTGCCCTGGCTCACGGTCCACTCGGAGGATGGGACGAGACAGCACAGGTGGACAGCCTGTGCCCAGCACCACGCTCACCACATAGACTGTCTTGGTAATTATACCCGATGGCCCCGTTAGGTTTACATCCATCTCTGCTCTGTGGGAGCAGGGACTACGTTCTCTGATCTTTGCTGCCCCTGCACAGAATATTTGCTCACCGATGGCAGCGGTGGCGGGGATGGGAGGTCCAGCAGGGACAGAGCATGGGGTCCAGCAGGGACACAGTATGGGGTCGGCTTTAGACAGGGAGGGCAGACACCCTGGCTGGGAGGCATGTCAGTCTCCTGGGGCTGCTGTAACAAAGCGCCACAGACTGCGTGGCTTAGAACAGCAGGAATTTTGCCCTCACAGTCTGGAGGCTGGAAGTCTGAGATCAAGGTGTGGGCAGGGCTGGCTCCTTTCGGGCTGTGCGGGAGAACCTGTCCTGGGCCTGTCTCCCAGTGCTGGTGTGGCCGATCTCAGCACTCCATATCTGCCTGTCTTCACGTGGCGCTCTCCCTGTGTGTGTCTGTCTCCAAATCCCCCTTTTCGTAAAGACCCCAGTCCTTGTATACAATATTAGCCTAATATTGGATTAGGGCCCACTCCACCCCAGCGTGACCTCATCTTAAGTTAATCACCTCTTTAAAGACCCTGCCTCCAAGGACAGTCACATTCTGAGGTCCTGGGGGTTAGGACTTGAACATATGAATTTGGGTGGGGAGTTGTGGGGCTTTGGGGCCAGGATTCTCACTGACGGCCAAGAGAAGGAAACTGGTTCTGAATGAGAACCAGAGAACATTCATATTGGCCCAACATCGAACTGCCAGCATCCCCACCACTTCATGCTGATTGGCTGAGTCATGTCAAGCTTGCCCGTGGCTCTGGGGACAAGGCCAGCAGGACCCTGGGGCCTCACCTCAGCAGGATAGGCCACCAAGGGACTGGCTTAGAGGCCCAGCTCTACCACGGACTCTCTGAGGGATCTGGGCCAGCCTCCACTTCCACCTGAGCCTCATTTGCCCCATGCCTGCCATCAATGGGACGGGGCTGCTCTATCCCCAGCGCCAGGGCCATAAGGAGCAGGGGCTTGTAGCACTCTGTTGCAGAGAGGAGGGTTAGGAAGGGGAGGTCCTATCCTATGCACTGGGAGGCCCAGTGGCCCTTCTTCCTTCTGGAGGCAGCCTCTCTGTCCTGGGGACCTTGTGGGTGTCACCGGGCCTGCCACCCTGGCCTGGGCCTGGGGGCCTTGCTGTCCTCCAGGGCTCAGGACCTTGGCAATCCACTGAGCACGCACACCTGGTGCAGGGTCCACCCCAGCGAGGACACTCTTGCCAAGTCCTCATTCCTCTGTATGGCTTTGCCCTGGGGCTCCAGGAAGCCACAGTTTAAGGGATTGTCTTTAACAGTGAGGACGTGCCCCAGGGCATGGTCTGGTACTGGGGCTTAGGGAAGGCCTGGCACGGCCACAGGTGTCACGTCTGTGACATACAGCTTTCTCTGAAGGCAGAGGACAGCTCTCAAACAGGGTGTTCTCAGAGTGGTAGGGGCCAGGTTCCTTAAGATCATTGTGCCTGGAGCCGAGGATGGGGACGCCCAGGCACTCTGGCTGCAGAGTGGGTGGGGCTACACCTGGGGTGGGGGCGAGGCTTTAGGGACAGCAGCCCATCGCCCCCTCCTCTGAGCCCACCCTGGGCTCTGTGGATGAAGATACTCAGGGCCCCACACGTGAGATCACCTTCCCAGGGGCATGGACTAGGACCAGCTTTGCCAGAAGCAGAGCCAAGTGCCTCGGTCATTTCTTGCTTGGGCAGGTCTCCCCTGGGCCCCTCCTCCCTATCCGCCAGGAGCCAGGAGCAGTAATGACAAGAAAGACACAAACAGCCCTGGCCTGGAGCAGCAGACGGGCTCCTGGGGACCTGGTCTCCAGGGGACTCTTCCTCACTTGCTGCAGGTGGGTAGGGAGGGGCCTGGGCTCTGGCTGCAGGTCCTGAGCCTAGCTGCGGCACGGCTCTGGCTGCAGGTCCTGAGCCTGGCTGCGGCATCGAAGCAAGGCACCCCACTTCTGTGGGCCTCAGTCTCCCCTCTGCAGAACTGGGGGGATCACATGCTGAGGACTCCTGGAGTTTGGAGCACCCCTGGTTCTCTGCCAGCTGGTGCAGCATTAGATTTTATCTAAGGAGAACCTCTTCTTGGGGTGTCTGAAGGGTCCTTCCAGAAAAGAGGGGCCCCAGAGTAACAATGCTGAGCCCTGGGACCCGAGGCTGCACAGAACACCTGCCAACATCCCTGAATCTGAATTCTGCTGCTTTTCTGCTGCTCTGTATATGTGTGCATGCGTGTATGTGTGTGCATGCGCGTGTGTGTGTGTGTGTCTGTGTGTGTGTGTTTAAAGGGGCAGCATTCTTGTTTGGAAGCCATTAGTGCCTCCGATTAAACAAAGGTGCTCTTGAGTTTCAGAGGCAGGGCTGAACTTGGGGCAGAAGCCCTCACCTGGCCAAAGTTTTGCATGCACACCTGTCAACAGCAAGGCCGGACGATGCCGGCTGTCATTTAGCCCGTGCACTGGGCTATGCACACAGCTCGCATCATCTCAGGGATTCTCCGGCCACCCAGGGGTGCTTACTCTCAGCACCCTCTCCAGGTGGAGAAACTGAGGCAGGTAGAGGGGAGCTCCCCGGCTTCCAGATGTCAGAGCCCAGGGTCCTCACCCTCTGCTGGGTGCGCCCGGGGTGCTGCTGGGGTGGAGATGCACGGCTCTCAGCACAGCCACACAGGGCGGGCGTCCGGGCCAGGCCTTCCCAGGGCAGGGACGGTTTCCTTACCGTTTATCTGCTCGCGTTGAGGTTTGGTTCATCTCACTATTGGCAATGAAGTTTCTGATTTCAGAGAAATAGGAGTCTTCTTTCTCATCTAAAAGTGCATGGTTGTCCGACTCGGAAGTCGGGGAGGAGGCGCTGGTCCCCAGGTGGTTTGTGAGGACCCCGGAATGCTGGCTCACTGTGGAGGGGCGGGAGCAACAGGGGGTCCTTCAGCTGAGCCCCCTCCCATGGGACAAGCCAGTGGGGGGGCTGGCAGCTGCAGAAAGTGCAGATTTGGGGTGCTCTTAGGGAAGCCCAAGAGCACGAGATTCTCTTTAACAGAAGTGGGCTGAGGCGCCCTGCCGGTTTTCCTTGGCACTAGCACGCGGCCCCTCCCACCCGGCCCTCTCCCCCGTCCCCTCTCCGCCGCGCCCGCCCCCACACCCCAGGCCCGGCTGCCCTGGGGCACCTGGCGCGCTCTCGTGCTCGTGCTTCTTGAGGTGCCTGTCCAGGTTGGTCTGCTGCCCGAAGCACCGGTTGCACAGGTGGCACTTGAACGGCTTCTCCTTGTTGTGGATGTTCCGGACGTGCCGCTGCAGGTTGGAGGAGATGCTGAAGGAGCGGTCGCAGTACTTACACCTGGAAGACACGCGCGCGCCTCAGCGGGGCCCGGGGAGGCTCCGCCGGGCTGCCCGGCCCTGCACGCGCCCAACGGACCGTGGTGTCCCCGAGACCCGATAACTTCGTATAATGTATGCTATACGAAGTTATTACGGAGATGCTGAAGGAGCGGTCGCAGTACTTACACCTGGAAGACACGCGCGCGCCTCAGCGGGGCCCGGGGAGGCTCCGCCGGGCTGCCCGGCCCTGCACGCGCCCAACGGACCGTGGTGTCCCCGAGACCGGCCTGGGATCACCTCGACAGCCCGAGGCACCGAGGGGAAGCTGTCCCCAGAAAGCACCTGGCTTGAGGAGCAGGTGCTCATCTCTACTGTCCAGGGACGGCAGGTCCTGTTGGAACGTGCTGGCAGGGGACTCTCTTGGGCCCTGTGCTCCGGCGTATGCTGTGCCCTGGACCCTCCAGCCTCTCCCGCCCCCTTGCCTGGGTCCCTCCAGCTCAGAGGCCCTGGGGCCTGGTGGGTCTGATGCTGGAGGGAGACGTGCTCCCTGCAGCCTCAAGAGGGCGACCTTGCACCGTGGAAGGATGCTCGGGCGGGTTTTCCCGGGAAGGCCTGGCCCTTGCACCAAGTGGCTGAGGGTCCCTGGGCAGGCCCCATCTCTCTTGGGGCCTCAGCTCTCCAGCCCATTAACTGGGGGCTGAGGGGTGCCCCAGATGCTCTTAGCTCAGCCTTACCACCTGTCCCCCCACCCCATTCGGATGGCAAATGACCATGCTGAGCCCTGTTGGGCACTGCCAGCTCTGTGTGCTCAGTTTGTCTATATGCCCTGCTCTGCAGCAGGGAGGGTTGCTCCTAGCCTGCACCATACGTGGGAAAATTAAGAAAGACACCCCTCCTGCAGATGCGTCAGTGGCACCTGGCAGAATATGACCATGACATGCCAGGTTTATCACAATGAGGCACTTCACTGCCAGAAGATTGTTGTAACAAACAGCCCAGGACGTCTGCCACGTGAATGGCTGTGCTGGGAATGACCTTCGCAGCCACACTTGGTGGCCCCGCGGGCAGGGGAAAGCAGGTTGATCTCCCGTGTTACACTGGAACTGAGAGCTGGGGGCCTAAGCACACCTGCACTGAGCAGCAAGAAAACAAAGCCTGGAACATACAGAGAGCTGGACCGAGAGAGAGAGGGATTCAGAAGGAACCTTCTAGGTTCTGCAGGCAAACGCATGAGCCTTACGAAGGAGCGGGCTCCTCACTGTGGGGAGTCCAAGCAGAGCCCAGGTGGCGTGCTGAGGGGCCTCTCACCGGGCCTGCACGCCTAGCCGTGCGACAGCAGAGGGAATCCCGACGTTCGGTTGCACACGTGTGCCGGGTGTGTGCGTGAGTGCGGGGTTTCTGTGCGCGCATGCTGCAGGGTCTTAGCTGACCGAGTCCTTCAGAACCCAGAGCAGTGAGCCTCAGTGGGGCACAAGGATGGGGGTATGTCCACCTGCAGGGGTGAGGCCATTCTAAACGTGGCTGCAGGAGGGCCAGGACCTGGCAAGGCCCCCACCCCACCCCAATTTGGTGCTGTGGCCATCTCCAGCCCAGTACACTGGTCATGCACCCTGGTCACATGGATGAGATGTGCCTGAGACCACTTTGGGAGCCCTGGCCTCCCAGACCAGGGCTAGGCCAGGAGGGGCTGTGTAAGGGTGGCTTTCATGGCATTGAACTGCCCAGCACAGGAAGGGCCCAGCCCCAGCGATGGACACCAGAGGCCCAGCGTGGGACCCTTGCCTGGGGAGTCTGATCAGCCGTCAGCACGCCCCAGGCCCTCCCCGAGGCAGGAGGCAGTAGCTCCCAAGCTTTCTGGGTGTCACAGTGGGCCCAGGAGCTGAGCTCTCCCCACACAAGGGGTGGCAGCTTTATGAAACACTGTCCTTGGAATCTCAGAGCCTGCAGGCATTCCCCTGCCCCACAAGGTGCCTGATAAAACCTGGGAAGTCTGATGATGGGGCCCCATGGAACGTGGAGGTGGCCCTGCTGGAAGGGGCTCCCCCTGGCCTAAGCCCTTCTTCCAGTCCTGGCTGTAGCGGGCACCCGCCCTCCCCCAGCCCCCGAGGGTTCCCATGTGCCTTCCTGGGGTTCCGTTCATTCTGTGCTCGAACCTTCCTCCACGGTACAGTCATTGGTGATCTACAGACTCACTCTGCAGGCCGGTCCCTGGGCCCCTCTTAAGTGGCCCTCAGCCTTCCCTGCTCCTTGGCCTCTGGGCACTGGCCTCTGGACCTCTCTGTGGGGCCCCTGCTTCTCCCTGGGGCTGGTCACAGCTCCGCTCCCGCAGCCTGGTGCCGTTCAGCAGCCTGCGTTGGCCGACCATCCGCCGCTCACTCGGGGAGCCTCAGCGGTTCAGTCCTTCTCGGTGGCCTATCTCCAGGGAGCTCAGGTGAGGCTCCCGCCCCCTCAGCTGTTGGGTCAGAGACACTCAGGCACCCCTACCTGACGCTCCCACAACAGTCCAAAAGGAGGCCTTTTACACCCCACAATGCACCATGTCACTCCCCTGCCCTGACATGTCCTTAACCTTACAGACACCCTGGTGGCGCCCAGCTCTGGGCCATCCTGCTCTTTAGGGTGGTGGCTCAGGAAGGACAAACTTGATTTTGCGTCATCAGAGCAAGTGCAAGGCCAGGCTGGCCGCCAGCCCAGGTCTGGACATTTGTCCCCAGCCCAACAAGAGGCACCCCACTGCAAGGACCTGCAGTCCCCGGCTCACGGATGTGGGCCAGCCTGCCTGTCTGTCTGCACACTCCACACATGGCCTGTTCAGTTCCTGGTCTCTTTGGAATGCAGGGACCCTGTGACATGGTTCCTGCATAAACTCTGAGCGACGGGCATCCCGAGTCAGAAAGCAGACTAGAGAAGGAGCTTGTCCACAGAAACGAGCAGGACTCTCGTGCGAAGGGGAGGGGTGGGGAGGGGTGGGGGGCTCTGTGTATTCTATTTGGTCGTATAGAGGGTCCTGAACGTGGCCCTCTCCTGCTTCTAATCTAAATAAATGGCCTAGACAGAGAAGCCCATTTGATATTTAGGGGAGCACTGAGCCTAGGGCTGCGAGGGAGCAGAGTTCTCCAAGCAGCTGGGATTTGTGTTGTAAAGAAGCTGACAAGTGGCTAGTGGAATCCATGGCTGTGCTGTGTAAAATAACACACCGTCGAGCTCCAAAAAAATGAGAGCACACAGACCGCCCTGGCCACGGCACCTGGTGGAGGGCTTTGAGAGGACCTTGCTGTGACCGTCTCCACGGAGACCCCAGGCAAGCCCAGCACGGTGGAGATGACGGTCGGCCCTGGGCCCAGAGCCTGGGGCAGGAGTGTCCTCCCCGGGATCCAGGGGGCCACCGCCAGCCACCATGAGGGGAACTGCTCTTGGTAATTGTAAAAGTCGGGTAAGAAAAAGGAAGAGAGATTTTGAAACCCAGCCATAAACATAAAACTAAAAAGGAATGAGGACACGTACGGGCCACCTGCAGACCCCAGTGGAGACATAACTGTGCCTCTCCGGGCACCCTGGCCTAACACAGTTGGCAGGACAGGAGCCTGGAAGGAAATGGAGGAAACCAGGGCAGACCAGGAGACGTGCGTCCTCAAAGCAGGACCAGGGGCTCCTGCGGGAGCCCCCAGGCCCCATCCAGGGTGTGACTCAGGCCCCAGCAAGCAGCACCCTGGAGAGCCCCCGAGCACGGCTGCCAGAACAGATTCCGGGAAGCAGCCCGCCCCCCCCCATTCCCACTTCAGTTTTATGTCTTTCCAACCCACATCCCACAAAGCCTATATACTGGAGTTTTAAGACGTAAGAATGGTGTTAACTGCACCTCATCTTCCAAGTTCATGCAAAGATCTCCAGGCCAGGAGAAGCTGTGAGCCAAGGACAATTCATGGGGCCAGGCAGAAGGTTTGCCTTCCCCCAGGAAATGTGTGCATCACACCAAAGGGTTCATCTTCCAAGTTCATGCAAAGATCTCCAGGCCAGGAGAAGCTGTGAGCCAAGGACAATTCGTGGGGCCAGGCAGAAGGTTTGCCTTCCCCCAGGAAATGCGTGCATCACACCAAAGGGCCATCTTCCAAGTTCATGCAAAGATCTCCAGGCCAGGAGAAGCTGTGAGCCAAGGACAATTCATGGGGCCAGGCAGAAGGTTTGCCTTCCCCCAGGAAATGTGTGCATCACACCAAAGGGTCTTTCTTTGCCCTGTCCGGGCTCTGAAGCACATTCGGAGTGTTTTTAGGTCATCTGAGGCGAGGGCAGTTTGATTATCCCATCGCTCGAGCCACATATAAAAGCCCTCTTCCTCCTGCTTGCGAGGGGCCTGCGACAACCCTGCTTCTCCGGGGCACACGGGCAGGCACGTGTGCATACACACCCACCCAGCGGGCACACACAGGGTGACGGCCCCTCGGAGGGGCAGGCATGGGGGCGGCGAGCTTCTCTTGGTGGGCCTATGGACAGACGGCACGTTCTGTTCCTCCAACTTAAAACCCTTCCAATTATCAAAGCGAGCCCAGTAACCACCAGGGGTATCGAAGAGAAAGCCCCATGCCCCAAACGCCTCGGCACAGGGCTGCCTTGGGCCAGATAAAGTCAGGATTTGCAACACAAACTTGCAAAGCAATTATTGTTACCAAAGTCGAAACTCACAGATTGGAGAGAGCAAAAGAAATCGATGATAATTAAATTCTTCTATAAACACGGCCCCGACCCTCTGGGGGCTGTTAGCAGGCAACACTGTCCAGAAGTCGGCTCTCGTTACAGAGAAAACACATGGCTCGTTTTCTGGGAGGCGACCAGACCGAATCAATCTTTCTGTTGCTGGCCTTTGTTAGGTTGTAAGTCACTATTTTTTGGAGGGGAACAAGGGGGGTCTGTGCACTGGGGAGGATGGGGGCACTGGGCAGACAACTGGTAGGTAGCGTGAGCAGTCATTTACTTGCCAGATGGCACGTGGTTGGGGATGCGCCTTACGTCTCCGGTGGGGCTGGAGAGCACAGCACACGTGCAGGTGCGTCATGTGACCTCCCTCCCTGGGTATGGGGTCATGAAGCAAGTCCCCAGGGCCTGTATTACCTTGTGGTCACTTCCTGGTGACCCCCAGCTCTGTGTCACTAGAGTACTGGAATCTTAAGCCACCAACTTAAAACCATGCCAAGCTCCCTCTATTCCCAACGGCCTCTGTTAACCAGACATGCCCCAGAACGTGTTACTAAACTGGTCTTGGCGTAGAAACCAGCCTTTTCCCATCTGCCTCTTGCTTACAATCTCCTGGGGCTCTCGTTTGAAATGCCAACTGCCAGGCCCCTCCCTGGGAGTCGCTGACCGGCTGAGCTGGGCAGGGCTCTGGGCATGTCAGGGCACCACCCTCGGCCCTTCTCCTGACCCACAAAGGCCCTGGGGACAAGAGAACAGGGAACTGGCCTCTCCCAGGGCCAGAACAGTAAGCTATGGTAGGCTCCAACCCCAGGCAAGTCACGGGGCGTCTCTGAGCCTTGGGTTCCGCATCTCTGTGGGGATGACCAGGCTCGCTGGGGGGCTGTTGTGAACCTAAAATCCAGTGATTCACATCCTGATGTGCTCTACAGCTGCGTCTCTGCAGCCACAGTGGCTGTTCAGGAGAGGGTAGACGCGTGGCTTCCCAGCCAGGGCTGCCACGGGGACCCCGAGCGATCCCTCAGGGCATCCCAATCCCAGGGTGGAGACGCACGTCTGCCACCTTCCACCCACTAGGGGTGGGGGTGGCTATGGCCCTGTGAGATGGCCGCTGCTGGACCATATGCATGTGAGGCTGAGTGTTCTCCCACACAGACCACTCCTGGGGCCCTGGCTTGTGGTCGACCCTGCTCTGATCCTGAGCCCCTGCCTGAAGTGGTACCCCATGGCAGGTGGAGAGCTGCTCCCTGGCATCCTCCTTTGTGAGCAGTGCAGAAGCCTTCTGGAAGCTTCCTGAGCACCTCCTACCTCATCCTGAAAGTGTCCCAGGGGGCAGGACAGCAGTGGGGCCAGGAGAGAGGGGTCCAGAGAGGGACCAGACCCGAGGTCTCAACGCGAGCCCCATGGGTGGCTGTGGCCCTGCTGGGGGAAGACGGTTCAACCGAGCTGGGAGTCCCTAGGGAGGGTGATTGTGTTCAAACAAGTGGCAATGGTAGTCCACTGCGGCAGGCTGACGAAATCTCAGCCCCACCAGGAGCCTGCTCCCATAACTGACCCCCGCAGCTCCTACCTGTACGGCTGCTCCCCGGTGTGCGTCCTCAGGTGTCTGGTGAGATTTGCTGATCTGGGGAAGATCTTCCCACAGTACCTGGGGTGGAGATGAGGGGGCAGGGAGGGCGAGGGAGACTGTCAGGGTGGGTCACACGGCCATTTCCTAGAGACGTTCTCCCCACTGGTGTTTGGTGCCCGAGGTCTCACACCTGGGGTGCAGATGGCCCTGCCCACATGGTAGTTTCCAGTCCTCTTCAGCCACCGAGCCCAGTCCCCTTTTACAGAGAAGCCTGCCACGGGCCACAGGAACAGACAGACCCTCCCTGTGCCCCT